CACCTTTCATGTTGAGATCTTAGATAAGCAGAACCAGATGGTTTAAGATGGGAGGACAGATAACTCCAGAAAGATTGGCCACTTTAAAACTCACACAATCATGCCCAGTTGAATGGGTGTGTGCATATATGTTGGAAGTGTGGTTTGTCACAATTGAGTGTGCATGCACTCAAACATAACACACTCTCCACAATTATCAGCCATTTCCCCAACTCCATGTTATCATTAGGCATGATGATGATTGCATGGTTGAGAGCCCAACCCCTCCCCCCCCCTAACTGCAGCTCAAATGTAATTGTTCACCTTGAGCCGAGGAGTATTGCTGAAACACACTAGTTAAAACCTGACGAAGGAAGACACAAAATGTTCACACAAATAACTTGGGGCTTTTATTGCTAAAGAGAAACCACGTGTTATTATCAAGCACTTGTTGTCACAGCCTACGTTATCCTAGTTGTATCCAAGCTGAGAGTAAAGTAAATAATTCCAAGTTTCTGAATCAATGGAAACATAATTGCCTTTTTTGCAAGTGGGAGCATGCTTTTGAGATCCAATACAGTGGGAGGATGGGAGAGGGAGGTGTGTTTCCAAACAGCAAAGTGGCTCGAGAAGGAGACCTCTGTTTAACCTTCGCCAGTGGGAGAAATTGCTCACAGCTGGATTTCACTGGTCAAATCGTTCGTTCAGATTTTGAGTGTGCTCTCTATATTTGAAGGTCTCTCTCATTATTCCAGCTATAACTGGGCCAGGGATCACCTTTTCACTATGTTTTCCCCTATTACCTTAATACTTTTCATTTCCACTCATGGTTTTCTCAATCACATCTGGTTTTGTCTATGAATAACATGGTAGTGATAACAAACTATAAAGGATTCACAGAATATATGCCAGAATAATGGTGCATGTGCTTATCTATTTAACTCTTGTGTGAAATTGGTATTTCCGTGGATAAGCCGTGAATGAGTCCAATGACTCTTCCTCTGAATCCATCTCCTTCAGACAGGCTGGCAGCTCTCCAGCAACTCAATCCTCAGTATGCGTCCCTGGGATGGAGGACAGGGCACATGTTGGCAGGCAGATTGCACATTTGAGGAAATAAATTGCCTCGTAGTGGACCACACTCCACATTGTCTGTTCCACTCTGTATTCCTTTGCCTTTAAATATGTTTGTTGAAGACCTGTCATCTGCAGTTTCTTTTATTCCTCTTCAAGGCCCGCTCATTTTCTGGTGTCTGGTGGCACAGCACAGCCGAATAGTCTGTGTCCGGAAGTGAACATGTGGTAGTGTTTAGCTTTGTAATGCCGTGGGTTTAATGGACGTCTTGAGGGAAATATCGCATGGAAGGAAACCAGCATAGTGATTCTGGGCCAGCAAACAGACTGGATGTCCAAGTGTTGGAGTACTCGTGTTATCACAGTTCTTCCCAAGGGTATACCTCAGTCCAAGGCCCACAGAGAAGGCTTAACATGGATGCCAAGTCATTTTTAATAAGCCAAATCTGTTTTGCTCAAACATTGATGTATCTTTTCAATGGAACCTCTATCAATGTAGTGACTCCTTTTGGCAGGAGGCAAGCTTTAACTCCCCCTCAGCTAATGTAATGTAACAGTTTCACTCGGCAGAGGCTTCTCTTAATGTTGCTATGTTGGTTCCAGTGAATCTTTCATGTGTTTTTTTAAAGCCTGATTGTGAAACACTTCCTCCCTGACATTCTTTTTCAAACCTCTTCACCCTTGCAAGTTAATATATTACAATAAATCATTGTGATATATTTATTATTCATAATTAATTGTTACATTTGTCTTCTCAATCTTGCATGGCTGATGTAAAGTCAACAAGTATTTGACCCTAGTATTTCCCTTAGAGTCCCATCTGGCCCAAGCATCAGTGATGCTAAAGTTGAGCTCGGAATAATACAGTCGGTCCAAATCTTAGACGGCCAGTGTTTCATAGACTGTTTTGTTCAGTTAAAAACCCATTATTATTCTGAACCCTCACCTTATCCCATCTAATCAATAAATGATTGTGCTGCTGTTATTGCCTTATAGTATAATACTTGTATTAGCCCTTTGTATCAATCTAACTTGTTTAAAGAAAGCCAGTGAGCTACCAAGAAAAAACTAAACAAATCTCCACCAGTGTACCCATCACACATGGCTGTTTACTGACTAATTCTTTTGGAGATTCCATTAACACATATACATCTGTGAAAGAGGGCTGGCTTTGTTGTCAGAGTATTACATTATAGCCACTGGGCAACTCATACAGCACGTTTAAATGTTGGCAAAGATGTTGATCAGCTACACTGTTGGACAGGTTAAGCTCTCTTGGCAGAACAACGTACAATCAGATGGTGTGACTGCATTCTAAAAGTACAATTTTCTCCAAAATAAAAACACAAACTCAATGGATCATGTCAACCTTGTTTGTATTTAACGATACACAATTATTATGCCAAGTGAACTGTGTGCATTTTAGTAACAATCTCTGTGTTTTGGAGACATTTATAAAACTTGCTTTATTGTTGTGGCTAGCCATCTGTTGAAATATGCCACATATAGTCATCCTCTCTCCCCCACCTGGGACCCTGACTTGTGAGGCAGCTTGAATGTGTGCAAGCCCTCCAGTCCACATGCAGCGCTCATGTGACACGTGGCATAATTGAGTCAGCCAGAAAATACTGTCTCACAAATCAGCAAACTGATGCCAATACTCATTGCCCAGCAGGAGATCTCTCAGCTGTATAGGATGGCATCAGAAAATAATGTGCCTGTCTCATATTATAAAAGGCACTGTTTTGCTGTTTCATTTGAGATAGCATGGGGCCCTGGGAGACGAAGACAGCATAGGTACTACTGACGAATAGGCTGAGAGCACCCTGCTGAGTGTGTAAGGTAACTATAGGTGAGAGATTCAAGTGGCACCATGAGAACAAAGAATGGAGGTTTAATAGAACAATTCAATACCAAAAGCAGCCAAGTTTTCCCTCTCAGTATAATTTGCCCTCTGTCTGTGGGCCATTCTCTAAGGGGGATCATTTTCCCTCATGTTTTATTTTTGCTGGCTCTCCAGTGCCTTTGTCCAGGGCTCTTGCCACATCACAAATCCAGCATGATACCTTGGGCCTCACTGGTCTCTCGCTCTATGTTAGTCAGTGGCTCTACTGTTGTTATCATTGGATTTATTCTTGGGAGTTGTTGATATGTTTTTGCTGTCTTACCTTCCTTGAAATGTTTTTGTGTGCCAACACCGATGCATGGAAATACCTCTGCCAGTCTTGTACAATCAAAAGCGACAACTAAGCCTAACCCTACAATGTGGGTTTCTATTTAGTCATTTGAAAGCAGATGATGGCATTGACATTAAATGACCAATGTTGACTGCAATGTTGTATTACTTTCACCCCCTCTCCCCTCCACTGAGTTACACATATGTGCATTTATCTTGAAGTGGCACTTCAGTTCAAAGCACATGTATTACATGTCTCTACCTATACATATGTGTATATTATGAATCCCTCCATCCACCTTCCCCATCATCACTCTGCTCCTGTTTACACAAATACAAGTTCATACCATTTGCTTTTGTGCATCCATGTGCTCAACTGATGATGAAGGTGATACAGCACATTCTGAGTTGTGGTCCAAGTAGACTTGAAGCTAGAGTGCATAGTCTTGTCATCCTCTGAGAAACATCCTTGGATGTTGACAGAAAATCAAACCATAATACTTGATGTGGTACCGGTATGTACTTGAACCCTTTTTAGCCCCACTTAATACAGTAAACAACTGCCTCCCTGATGCCATGTGTTGACAGAAAGCACTGGAGTTAGGCAGGTGCCTTCAGCATTGCTTCTTCTGGCAGCCCAGGAGATGTTGCCTCTTTGATTGTTTCTTCAAATATGCGAGCCAGCGCTAGGGGAGCAGATTGTTTGTTCTAGATATCCTGGGAGACTCCCATCTTGGGCTTAAACAGAGCAGTTGTGATGATTAGCAACAAAGTGTGCTGCCTCTCCCATAAGGCATGGGCAGGCGAGGAGCTTCTTTCTCAGACTGCTTCTTCCTCGGTCTGATGTATCCCTCCTCATTACTGTAATTCCTGTACATGGGCACCTATGTATTCAGAGCTTGATGTTAAAGTGTAAATGAAGAGTAATACACACTGACATGTGGCCTCAATGATGTCTCCATTATACAACAAAGGTCTCTTCATGCTTGGACTAATTTGTCTATTGTGTTCAGTAACAGAGAGTTTATGCCATTTTCTTGGATAGCGGGGTGGGTAACACAATTATCTCCTTGGCTCTAGCAAGTTGACATACAGGGCCTAAGGGAAGGAACTGTGCTTATCAACCATCTACCCTCTGTCACAATGACACACATGTTAGCACACACACACACAGAGAGGGGGAAGTCATCTGCATGGCTTATCTGATGCTACAGCTGATGATTATGTTCTTCCTAATGTGCTTTCGTCAGTCACATCTGCCTCAAAAAACAATGTTATACCAAAGGTGTGGCCTGAAGGAAACACGACTGGATTTAAATAATATAACAAAATATAATGTTGCCAATAATCTTATTTTAGCAATTTGGTATACACTATCAATAAAGGTTTATATATGTGAAATAACACCTTCTAAATAGCAGCTCAGCGAGCGTCTACCTTGTAGAGTATTATAGAACCTGCTAAAGTTTTCCGGTATGGATACTATAGTTTTTAATTGGCTTATACCATCTGTTGCTGTCTCACCCATCGTTTCCTGTCAGCTTTCGCTTTAATATGCACACATGTATTTGCATTCTAATGTATGTAAATTATTTATTTCACTTTGTTGTGGGATGTTGACTTTTTTTTATATAATTATATTATGTATTCTCTTCAGGGCTGAAAGCAGTCAATGTATCATTTTGATTAAAACATGATGTACATTAGTTTTATATTGCATTTCATTTCAAACAAATTGACTTTAATTTTGCAAATATTGTTTTTCTTTCAGTGAAGAAAGACGTGAAAGATGAGACTGATGACCGAATGCAACATTTCAAGAAAAAGGCGAAAGAGCTTCGCATCCTGGATGCCAAAACAGCTCAGAATCTCTGTGAGTATATACAGTTTACTCAAAGAGTATGACCGACATAACCACATGTTGAACACCATGCATTCATAACTTTCTATATTCTTTTTAACCATGACCTTTTGTGACAGGAAGTCAGTGTTATTTCCCATGACACCCCAGGCTTGTTATACCCCCATGAATTACTCAAGAAAGGTGTTTGTGGGAAACACACAGCAGAGAGCCCTCAGCAGTGATACTGTTTTACTGAGCCCTTTGGGGAAATGTTTTCTTGGCAGTGGTTTAACGGTCACCAAAAGTGCACATATATTGTTTCCAAGCTCCCTGTCTGTAATCATGTGTAAAACAAATTCTTATTAGGACGGATCGCTAACACTGTAGGTATTCGAATCCCCAGGAGCTTCAGTGGACTAAATGTTTAGTCTATACTGGTTTACATTTGTTTCCTCACTCTCAAAACACTCCTTTGTTTTGATTTGGTGGACAAAACGATTAGTCTATTCAGGTTTGATACAAATTATATACACATTATTTCTACCTGTGAGTTTCAATAACATCTGCAGTTCATTTCTCTATGAAAATAAAAAATCTAAAATGTGTCTAAAACGTTGCCTGATATCAGCCTTGTTTTGGTTGGATGGTAAAACATGTATTATTGTTTCCCTAACTACATTTATTTGGCATCTACAACCTTGATGTCCCTTACTTTAGAGTTACAATTTAGAAAATAACACATTTTATGAAATATGTGTGTCTAATGATAATATAACATGGTTGCAACCATACTCCAACCTCTTTGTTTATCCATGTTTTTATTACCTTTCTGGTTTACTGGAGAGTGGGATGAGTATATTTTTAATGGAGAGAGGTCAGATGAATGAGTTCATCAGACAAAGATATGAGGTCTCATATTAGGAAGGGGCATGTGTCATGAACATAAGGATGCTACATACAAGCCTGTGTGTTTGTGTCTCTGTGTATGTGTGTGTATGTGTGCCAGTGTGCACATGTCATTGCACTTGTGTATGCGCTGTGACAATGTTGATAGGTGTCACTGCCATCTTTGATTACAGCACCAGCAGATGGGCTCTGAGTTTGTCAGGAAGCAAAAAATAAGTGTAGAAAATCTCACCTCCAGCATGGCAATGGGTGGAAGGCATGTGGTCGTACAGAAACACAGCTTCCCCGGGTCGCCCTGACACACACTGAAGCATCATAGATCAAATTCTCTGCCTGCCACATAACCGTCTGAGCTCCCTTTTGAAGTTTGATGTGTGGTGCTATTGAAGGTTCAGTAACCGGGATGGGTAGCAGGACACAGTGAATGATTGTGATGCCAGCACCGCTTGATGTATTGTGATATAATGGTTATGCATACTATCTGATACATTGTCTACATATCCTATCATTCTCTCTATCTGTCTATCTAAAAACATACCTGCATATTTTGCATTGAGCTGCAGGTTAGCATCTAACTTGTGGCTACACCCTGAACAGAGACAGGTTTCAGTATAAGGACATTATCAGTTAACATGTTCCTGTAATCTATATTTAACTGTAGGCTTGAACTGTTGCAACATTTAGACATTTATAAGAAGATAATTAATATACATTTCTCAACACCTTTACCATGCACTGCCTTTCTGTGACCCCCCTCCTTGCTTAAGCCTTAGATATAACATCTAAGAACAGACTTGGTGAGTGGATTTGCAGCTTGTTCTGATAGTATTTTACAAAACTACATTGACACAACTCCACATGCACCACTTTGCTCATCTTGGCACAGTTAGGTTAGTCTGCAGCCAGAACATAACCAAACAGTGGCATGGGAGACCACACCCATCATCAAGAGAGCATACAACAGGTTGCAATGCTAGTCAGTAGACAGTCACTTAACTTAGCTTACCTGCCTCCCTTATCCCATCTGTATCTATTCCAGTTTGTAATTCACAATATTTCCCACCATTACTTTTGACAACCCTCCCGTAAGAGAATCTTGTATCCAGCTGTTGGTTTCATACAGAGAGGACATATTTTAAATTGTATAACGTTTAGACTACAAACAAGTATGACATGATCCATTTGATATAATATCACGCTAATGAGGAGAGAAGATTGAGTATACGTGTATATTACCAACGGACAAAGACAAACCACAGTCTAGATAGAATAACTTTATATTTAATTCTACAACTCTGAGTCACCATGACACAGTCAAGTCGTACATGTTAATGTTCAATAAATAAACATATCAATTACACCAGACAATAAATATATATTTTTTTATTTATACTTTTATTGTCATTACACAGTAGGCCTACTTACTATGTAACAAAATGGTTTCTCTGCATTTGACCCATCCTAGTGTTAGGAGCAGTGGGCTGCCATTATGAACGGCGCCCGGGGAGTCTTGATATGCCATGACAATGTACGAAGTAAATGCTGTAAATAGTCTTTGACAAAAAAAAAACCTCTCAGTTTGTTGCGCGTCAAATACAGACATCAGGTCCCACTGCAGCAGCATAGCAGCTGTTGAGAGAGTCTCCTCCAACTCATTACCAAACCTCCACCTGTGACTTCCACCTGGATACACCATCAGCTCCAATTTCTACTGTAGGCACCCCACCTGGAGAGTGAAACACCCACCAGGTTGTCCCCTGAGGCAATTTCAGTGTTTTTCTTTGTATCCACCCAAAAAACCCCATGTAGCCCCCCCTGATGACACCATTACAGCTACCACATCCAACTATATATTTTTGACTTACTGTCGTGATTACTATGATTCACGGTTAACTTTGTATGCCTTTTGTTTATGGACTTGATGTCTTACTTCCTTTTTTATGTCAAGGTGACACAAACTATCCCATTTTCCCTAGTGACACGTTTGGTCTGTGGTCATTTTGTCTGAGGAGCGATGAGTGCTGAAATGTCTCTTTGAACCCCGAGGTCTAATACAAAAAAAGGGGAGGAAATGACTCTCTTCTCTTTCCATCACAACAGCAATTTTCTTGGGCTCGTTCCGCCTGCCTTATGAAGAGATCCGGGACATTGTGCTGGAGGTAGACGAGGAAAGACTGAGCGAATCACTCATCCAGGTAAGACTGATGTTCAATGTGGTGTGTTCGTTTTTTCACCCACATACACACACACTTATTTTTACCCTCTGAAAAACGTGTGTGTGTTAGTGACTGAGAGAGAGAGAAGGGTGTAGAGAGATATTCTATAGACGTTCAAATTAAAATATCATTTTTTAATGTTTGTGTCTGGCGAACAGATTGGTGAACCCATTTTACATTTAGTATGGTCTGTTTTTGGCTCCAGTCTGTCCGCTCATTCTCATGTGGACCACAGAGACCCCCCATTCATCTCCTTATAATGGATAATGAAGGACAAGGCTTGGCAAAGTCTTCCCTACTCCACCCTCCTTTCCTCTTGCCTTTGTCTTTTACAATAATTGATGAGCTTCCTAAAGGCTGCTTGTTTTGCTGCCTTTTAATTTATGTCTATCTTGTCTCAGAAAGCATTAATTGAAGGCAGGGCCGAGGCATCTGAGGTGAAGATGCATTGTGCAAGCCTCAATTGCACTATATTCTGCAATGTCTTTGTGTTGAGCACCAAAGCAGGGCTGGCGTTTAGTGTTTCTGTTTTGTTTCAGATGTAGGAGATGTACATTTCAGGACTAAACACATGGAAGATGTTATTTCTGTAAAGCAATAATGGTTTGGAATAATTATGTGTGCAGGAAAAGTCATTTGTTTTCCAACTTGCAACATAATTCAAGTTTACCTACAATTTAAGTCCAGGGTTCTTTCCTATGTTTATAAAATAAATATAATAGATACAGACATTACTGTATTGTAGTAGATAGTTCCTTTCCCACATGGCTTATCAACCAACGCTTTCACAGGAGTAAGTCTTACTTTCTCTCCGCTGATTGGATCCCAAACACTAGTAAAAGGTGGTGAGGCGATATATATATATTAAGATGTGGCCTATCTAAAGAGCTAGGATATTAGTTGAAACTTTAATAAGCTAGCAATCTGGCAATAAGTATATCTAGTAGTGAAATATCAGACCCCCCTCTGCTTTGTAAAGGAAGTTAAGGTGTTGACCTTTTCACCTTCAGCTTCAGCGTCATCTTGACCAAGATACCAACACTAATCTGGTGTCAGTACTCAACAGCTTGCACTTGAATAGTACAAATAGACCCAATATGGGAAAAAGGCTTCACCATCTGTTCTCAATAAAATATATTTTGGTGCAGTTACTATGATACAGGCATCAGCTGTAACCCTCAAGTTCCTTTTGTTCACTCGTTAACAAAACTCCATGTGAATGAATAGTGTGTTTGGGATGTGTTAAATGGTCAGGGATAAGTGAGCAAAAATGATGTTTTTCACAAATGCATTTTTGTAAGGGTTTCTGTTGTACCGATGACCTCTTCCATTTCCCTCTTTAACAAATGTTAAGCAGGACAATGAGGCTGCTAAACAAGAGGAAGGCTCAACAAGGCTCATGAGAGCATGTGTGTGAGTCAGCACAAGCATCTGAGAGCTGAGCTAATGTCACAGAGTCCTGGGGGAGGCGAGGGGACCCATTGAGTTAACTTATCGTTCCTGAAGGAGCCCACATCTGGCAAGTGTGTGGCTGCTGGTTGGATAATGATGCTAGACTCACAGTAAAGCCTGGACTTAGGACAGCAAAATGTTTTATTTACTTACAGTTTACTGTCAGTGTACCCTCCTTTGTGTGCTTGAAGAGTGTTTCCATTTACATTCATTATGTTGTACTCAAATATTCCTCGCATATTCCTAAGCATTGACTAATAAGCTCTGACTACATTTGTTTTCTTTAGTGATTATTATACACCTACACTTTTGCTCCCACTAATATGTGATGATGTTGGAATATTTATTTTGAGTACGTTGCTTGAGTGTAAAGGCCCTGTCACACTGTCCCGAAATTGACACCCGATGGACACACGAATATGGAATTGTGAATTTCGCACGAAGATGGCCTCGAACCACACACGAAGGCAACATTTACATTACATTTAAGACATATAACTGCAATGAAAGTACCAAAAACAATTATGTTACAGTACTATGATACTGTACTGATATCTTCAGACTTTGTTCTTTACTTTATCCGTCGTTATATGTAGAAAATATTACGTTTTCTCCGTAATGTTGTTTCCATAACAACAACAACTTCCTGTCAACTGTCCTTCAAAATAATATATTATATCCTTTTTAGTTTCACAGAACACAAATTGGGTTATTTACATAATACATTTACATGATTTTGTTGTGCAATAAAACAACCCGATGGACACCCGATAAAGGAAATGTTCAAATTCGGCTGTGATCGTAGCAACATCGGGCCATTCGTGAGGGCATCTTAAGCCTTCGTATGACCGCCGGTGGAGTTTCTCAGGCTCCGGCAGCAACTTCGTGAGCGGTGGCAAAATCTTTGGCATGCCAAAAAATTGCCGAAGGACCTTGCGAAGGTTCATTTTCGTGTTGAATTCGTGTGTCAATTGTGCCCTTCGTAAGGCCATCGTGAGGGCATCTTGTTATCATCGGTGCCATCGGGCATTCGCCCCGATCAGAGTGAGGGTGAATGCACCGATGATAACACGAAGATGACACGATTTGACAAGATGCCCTCACGAGTGCCTTACGAAGTTGCCGCTCACGAAGTTGCTGCCGGAGCCTGAGAAACTCCACCGGCGGTCATACGATGGCTTAAGATGCCCTCACGAATGGCCCGATGTTGCTACGATCACAGCCGAATTTGAACATTTCCTATATCGTGTGTCCATCGGGTGTCAATTTCGGGACAGTGTGACAGGGCCTTAAACGATGCATTTCTCCTTTAATGATTATTAAAACACATGCATAATTGAAATGGTAATTGTTACATTCACATGGTTTAACACTTCACTTTATTTGTTTTTAATATCAGTTTGAACCCATACACAGTAAATGGGTTGTATTTGGCTATCATGCCATATGGTGTGTAGTGTTGGGAGCAATAAGCCTCGCCACTTGGAGAGTATGTCCACTCAAACACATTGGTTATCATGTCATCATAGGAGAGGAGTTCCTTTTTGAAGCACATTTTCCACATTTTCAGCAAGAGCTAGCTATTTTTCACAAATGGTTTGCTTTACATACATTGATCTTTAATTAGACTTCTTGTGCCACACAGTTGCTTTGGCTTTTGCTTCCCTGGCAAAAATGCAACTATTGTTTTTGTGCTTGATGGACAGTGCAATTTGTTCCTAGCCTTTTACAACATATTAGGCATTTCTCGAATACTGGTATACACACGACAGTGAGGTACCATTTGGCAACACATATTTTTTCATAAGAACATTTTACTGAAAGTATGCTTGGACAACCTTATAAAGACATGATTATAGAACACAATAGCTCTCAAGGAAGCAAGCCACACACGCCAAATAAATACAGCTTTCCAGAGGCACTGAAGGGAAGCAAAGAGATCTCCTGCTGGGTGACACAGTCCTGAGTGTGGGCTCCATCTGCACAGTGCTCATCTACACTCATTATGCTGATTAATCACTCTACACCACCCACTTCCAGCCACACGCCAATCACCATTTATCCACATGGACAACTGCACACACACACAGAGTAGGAAGATGGGTCTTCAAGGCTTGGGCAATACTGAAAGGAAATGCATTCGATGTCTTGCTAATGTTAGAAGGAGTGGGCTTAACATGAAAGTAAACACATAACATGGATGAACAATAAATACGTGAAGAGAAAGAAGGAAACATATTTAAATGAAGGGGATGAAATCTACATAGCCTTTGATTAGCCACAGTTAAATGGTGTATTAGTGTGCTCGTTATGATTGGTTAGTGTCACCTGTTGCTTTTTCACTGCATAATTACAACCATAAAATAGGCTTTGCCAAACAGGTTTAGGTTTAATTGAATTTAAAATGTTTAAATGCTGATAGCTAATGATCAACCTACTACTGTTATCTTAATTGACACTTGACCACTATCAGTAATTAGATATCATTACTCAATTTTGTAACCAAGTTAGTAAACATTTTGTTAGTTTGATATCCCACGTTTCTTCTTATTTACTGAGCATTGTTATCAGTTTAAAAACCAACTTAGGCGCCAATATACAGTCCAACCTTGAAACAATGATACTGGACCATACCTGGCAGCGCCACAACACTCTTCTGTATTCATGCACTCTACTGTGATGAGAGGCTCTGATAATTCTGGCTCTGTTTTAACTGGTCTTGTAGCTCTTCATACAAGATGAAAATAAAACGCTTCATAACTCAGCCCAGTTCAGATTCTCCCTTTGCAGTATTTTGAAGAGGCAAACGTCAACCAAGCTAGTAATGGATAAATGGAGGGAATAGTGAAAATGGAAGGAATCAAGCAAGCAATAGGTGCTCATCATGCATCTACAACTCTGTAACTCAATCTTATTATCTTCCTTCTCCGTCTACATGTCTAATGTAATGATTTGTCAGCAGAATGTGGCAGTGCGCTGGCCTTGAAGTACCCCTACAATGTGTCATCCTGGCAGAGTGGATAGATAGGAGTTGATTGGCTCTCCTTATTCTGCATTAAGGCCCATCAACGCCTCAGAAATGATGAACACATCCCTGGATGCTGGCAGACAGTCTTGTTCCCACCATTCATTCAGACTCCATATGAATCTTAGCAATACCACACTTATTTTCATCTGTATATGACTAGCATACAAACAACACATGCAAATGGATAGACAGTTTCAGTTATCCCCTATGACTTTATCTCCTGCACAATGTTGTCATTTATCATCCGGCTATACATGTGTGCAAGGTTCATGCAAAGGTGCAGACACACGTGTTTGTATGCAATGTGTCTCTTTGTATCTCTCAATCTCATTTGATTTCAATATGCATAGTGCTGGTGGACAGAGGTCACTTTTGTATATCAGGTCAGCTTCATCACATTCAAAAGACATCAGAGCCACCCTACACTGTATAACAATGAGATACGGAGACAATGAAAGACAATAATGAGCATTGGCTCAATGAAAACAGATTGAGCCCC